ATATATATATTTGTGTTGATAAGCCTGAGTGGAAGCCTGAGTGGTCTGTTGACTGACATTTGTATTTGTTCAAATAATTGTTATGGGCAGGATACAATATAAAAATGTCTCATAATAATGTCTTGGGATTATTTGACAGGAGTTTTACTTTTGAATGTAAGTGTATTTAATTTAGTCATAAGGTAAATACAATAAAAAATTAAACCAAGATTTAGAATAATTGTCATTTTGATCCATACATTGGTAATGTGTGACTGGGCCTCGTGTCACTTTATGTTCAATAACTTGGGCCCCGAGGTCAAAAAGGTTAAGAACCCCTGCTGTAAACAACCCTACAGAGAGGAGAAAAGGACAAAGCTGAACGAGACGACTGTAAACGAGAGCTGCTGCTTTGTCGGACAAATTTATTTTAATTTGCAACCCTTATCAACACAGACTGGCTTCATTCACTTCCTCCCCTGCCATTGCTAAACTAACTAGCAGACACTACGCAGAAAATCGACATTGTTCAAATCTCCGCCTTGTTTGCTGATTGGTCCAGGAAAAATAAACTACAAGCTGACAATGCGCAGAAAATCGATGTTCTGTTCTCTGATTGGCCCGAATGAAATGCACTGAACATCTGTTTTCTTTGTTTTCAAATTGCCCGCGTTAATGAGTCTGTCTCGGTGCTCACAACTACTTCCTGGTCATGCAGTTATTTAAATAAATAATACTAGCATTGAACACCATAAACTATAAAACATGGAACATGTCGTTGTTATTTCATTATACAAATGCGCAAATTTTGCTGCGGAATACATCAAAGTGTGCAGGTAGTGTGCAGTTTGCCGAAGTGTAAAGGCCCATTTATGCTCACGATTCAGACAACACATGCCAACTTAAATGAACTGTAACACTGAAGGTGAATTAATTTCACTATAAGCCTCATTTGGATGTGTATCTTTGATTGAATATATAACCACTATGTGTAATTTAGTAAATAGTTAGTGGTAAATGGACTAATAACCATGACGTTGATAATTGTTAGAATATATATATTTCCTGTCACTCTCTCTTCATTCTGGATTATTCCAATTACTAATAATTTGAAGCTGTTTTGTCCACTATGTCATTACACTATTTTAACACTAATTTCATATTTTTAAATGTATTTTTTCTAGCAAAAGTCAGTTCATCAAAAGTAACACATACTGTATAATGTTTTTCTATTAAATGTTCCCAGTGTGACTCCAGCTGTTTTCAGTAAGAAGCACTCTACCTCTTTGCAGTAGTCACATTTTGAGTTAAAATGAGAATATTGTTATTGCTATCAGTCCCCTGAAGTTGTATTTATGAATTCAAACACTTGTCTTTCAGGTCAGACGTTACTTCAGAAAACATAAAGCACCAGCTCCCCGTGCCACAGCTGTTTCCAAGAAGGAGAAAATGGATGCAGCTCTCACCATGCTTCACATGTCTGACAACTGTCCAGCCAGCGACAGTGACGTGACAGCCAGTACAAGTTTCCAACCAGCTGAATCAGAGGCACCATCTGATGATCTAAACCTTGTTCTGTCAAAAGCTTGCAGATGTTCATGCCATCACCGTCCAGAGACATGAGAACAAGGGACACAGACTGTGTATAAGTACACACTAGGTGCCAAAATAGAAACAATAATTATGAAAAATGAAAAAATATTGGGAAGTACTACAGTCAATAAGGAGGAGAAATCTGCAGATGGCCCAAATCAAGTTTTAAATTTCAATGCTATTAGAGATGATGATAGAAAAATGAAATATTTTACAGGGTTAACAACTTTGCATTTTCCGGCACTTTTTCATTTCCTTGGAGATGCTGTGAATAACTTGACATATGTCCAAAATGGAAAC